TCTACAGAGATTGATGGTGAGTTCTTATCCTTTATAAGTACACGAGATTTAAACTCTCAACGTTCAGGAATCTAGTCCACTGCTCTACCTGTTGAGCTATTGTGATATTGACATTTATTAGTTACATTGAAACGATACTCGTAAATAGCAAGCCTGTTTGCAGGCTATTAGGCATGGACCTTCGGGGGTAATAATTAACTGAAAGACTAAGACTATTGTTATTGTACATGTGTTCGGGGAAGACAATATATAAATTTACAGTGGTGGCAGCGGTGATTCTCGCTTTAAATTGTCGGAAATGGCAGAAATAAAACAAGCCTGTTATGACGGTACGGGAGATGTAGATTTGTGGCTTATGAAAATGAAGTTCTATTGTTCTACAAAGAAATTTGAAGGTAAACAAGAAGCTCACGCCATAGCGAGTAAACTCGAGGGGGCGGCGTTTCTATGTATTGCGAGATTAGACGATGAACTTCAAGATGACCCAAAAGAAGTTAAAGCCGCTTTAAGGAAGGAATTCGACAAAGAATCGATCGACCACGAGAAAGCTGTCGACGAATTACGAGGTTTAAGGCGAAAAGGCGGTGAAACACCAGCACAGTTAGCGTGGAGAATCGAAAAGTTGATGGCGAAGGCTTACCCGGAGTTATGCGCGTCAACACACGGATCGGCGAAGAAAACAAAGGAACAAATGTTACATGATACCTTTTTGGGAGCTATTGACAATGCAATGAGTCGAAAGATAAAGAGCGACAGTAAACATCGAGATTTAAATTTAACACAACTTTCTGAAGAATTAGATCGGCTCGAGCTAATTTATAAAACAACAGCGCCAAAAGTAAACCTCGAAGTAAACAATTTGAAAACGACAGGGGAAGCAGACGAAATATCGTTAAGAAAGATAATCAGAGAAGAGGTAGCAGCCGCCCTATCCAAAGAAAACGATGGAAGTCGGGAAACGGAGGACGAAACAAAACGTACGGTCGGGTTCGTTGGAAAGAGAAATTTCCCGCCAAAACCTAGGAAATTTCCCGCCAAAACCGGTAAAAATCAAGCGTGTTTCCACTGCCAGTCGCCTGAACATTTTCGGAAAGACTGTCCATTTAAAGATCTTTGTCAACGCTGCTGGCAAAAGGGCCATACAGCACCATCTTGCCATGCTACAAGCCCTCGCCCTTCGCCGTCTTTAAACTCCAAGGCGGCTGGGAACAATCGTCAGCAAAAATAAATTCGTTCTCAGCCGCGAAGAAATTTATTACACTAACTGGTACAGTGGTTCAGTCTGGAAGCAGAGAGTTCAAGCATGAGTTTATTTGTGATTCTGGAGCAGAGGTTTCAGTTATTCCAACGGCGTTAGCACAAGAACATTACATGAAAATTCAACCAACTACACGTCACGTGGAGATGGCTAATGGGACACACGCAGAATGCAGAGGTGTGGTTCAAACATCAGTTACGGTAGGGACAAATAGTTGTATATTGAGTTTTTTTGTGGTAAGTGGTGTTCAAAACGGGATTCTGGGCTTGGACTCTTTGGGAAAATTGGGTGTATCGTTGAACACAAGAAAAAAATTGGCAACAATAAATGGGGCCCAACCCGTGTTACAACCGGAAGTAGATACCCCTCAGGAAATGCTAAAGTGTTGCCACATACGAGTTGCGGAAAGTCGTGATATTAAGCCATTTGAAGAAATATTCATTTGGGGTAAATTGGAAAATAAGAATGAAAAATTTACTAGAGATTCGTATATCGAAGGTACGGAACATTTTCAGCAGAGAACTGGGCTTCTTACAGCCCCGATAAAGATTTCGGCAGAAATGATGAACGATGGAAGTAAAATCCCCATATGTGTACTGAATACTACTGATAAATCAATCAGAGTTTATAGAGAACAAACTGCGGCCACAATTCAGGAACTGCCAAGTACCCACAACATAGCACATATTTCAGAGTCAAATATGGGGGGAAATAATCCATCATCACAATATGACCCGGTCCCAGAAGTATCAGTTGGTGAACAATTGACAACACAACAAAGAGAAAACCTAGAAATTTTAATTCGAAAAAATACACAAGTTTTCGACTACCCAGGAAACAGTGGGTTCACCACAACAATAGAGCACACAATACCCACAGCCGTATCTGATCCAATTGTGTGCCACCCCAGACGACACAACCTGGGGTTAACACAAAAAATTAATGAAGCAGTAGGAAACCATGTAAAGTCGGGACATTTGACACCCTCTAAGTCCCCTTGGGCATTTCCAATTGTACCTGTATTGAAACCAGATAAAACAGTTCGATTGTGTGTAGACTACAGACCACTTAACAAAATTACCCAGAATGACCCATATCCAACTGGAAATTTGCAAAAGGTTCTAGACAATCTATCAGGTGCTAACTATTTTAGTGTTATTGACTTGGCCCAAGGTTATTTGCAGGTCCCACTGGCCAAGGAAGATCGACCAAAGACAGCGTTTCGATCACCTACTGGGTTTTGGGAATGGACAAGAATGCCATATGGTTTAAAAGGAAGTCCGGCAACTTTTTCTCGGTTGATGCAGAAGGTTCTAGGACACATTCCACCACATCGGTTGGCATTGTACATGGATGATATCTGTATTATTAGCAAAACGTTTGAGGAACATTTAGTAAATCTCCAGGGAGTATTTGATGCATTGCGACAGCATGGATTACGAGTTAAAGCTAAGAAATGTGCTTTCGCAATGAAAGAAGTGAAATTTCTTGGACACAAAGTTTGCAACAAGGGTGTGCAGCCAGAGGAACATAAAGTAAAGGCAATTCGTGCATGGGTTGCACCAACTTGTCTTAAAGAGGTGCAAATGTTTTTGGATGCAGTTGGGTGGTATCGGAAGTTTATCAAGGATTTTAGTACAATTGCTCGACCATTAACATGGCTTTTGGAGAAAGATGTCACATTCACTTGGGGTAAGGAGCAAGATGATGCATTCAATACACTAAGACATGAGTTGGTTAAAGCTCCAGTATTAGCCCATCCTGACCCCACTCGACCCTTTGTTGTTACCACGGATGCAAGTAAAGTGGGTCTGGGTGGTGAACTATCACAAGATGATGCACAAGGACAATTACATCCGGTTGCATATTTCAGTCGTGCATTGACCAAACGAGAACGTTCATATCCAACTTATGACAGAGAAGTGATGGCTATGCGAGACACGCTTAAGCATTTTCGGTATTATCTGTTAGGAGCACAAGTAGTGATGAGGACTGACCACAAACCTCTTCTAAAGATCCTGGAACAGAAAGATCCATTTGGACGAAGAGCGACATTGATGAGAGATATAGCAGAATTCGAACCACGCATAGAGTTTATTCGAGGGCAGGATAATCACATGGCAGATGCTCTTAGTCGGATCGGATGGAATGTCAAATGGGAAGACAGAGATGAGGATACTAGTAAAGTGGCTACTATTGGTGGCTCTCAAGACGAGATTGGTCCATGCAAGGATGTAAGGTTGGACATAAATGATTTCCAACTGCAGCAAGAACGTGACCCAACCCTTAAGCCACATATTTCTACTCACCGAAACGAACATGGTTTATTCACACGAGATCATAAGAAGCAAGTGTTACTTCCAGCATCGCTTGTTCCCACCATATTATCATTAGCTCATGACGAAACGGGGCACCAAGGAGCAGATAAAATGCTTGCAAGAATTGAACCTCATTATTGGTGGCCAAAGATGAAAGCAGAAGTAGAGAACTATGCAAAAACGTGCCAACGCTGTGCTGCTACTCTTGCCCAGGGACATAGAAAAGCACCCATTCATCAACGACCAAAAGAAGAGAAACCATTTGCGTTGATAGAAGTAGATCTCAAGGGTCCATTACCGAGAACGAAAGAGGGATTTGACAATATTGTTGTGATAACAGATCCATGTACAAAATATGCAGAGATGCATCCAATTCGAAGACAAACCAGCCAAGTTGTTTGTAAGACACTCATGGGTTGGATATCAAGATATGGTTTACCAAACAAAGTGCACTCTGACAATGGACCTTGTTTCATAAGCGAAACATTTGAACAGTTTTGCATAACCCAAGGCATTGAGCATACTTTCAGTCCACCCTATAGGCCACAAGGAAACGCGGGTGTAGAACGGATTAATCGTACGATGGGGGAAGCACTCACAAAATTGGCAGATAAACATCCCAACCGATGGTCTCAACACCTACCTGACGTACAACTAGCATACAACACAGCAGTTCATACAAGTACAGGAGTTTCGCCGTACGAACTAGTTTTCAAGGAGCACCCGCGATCAAAATTCGAAATTATAACAGAGAAGATATCACCAGCAACGTTTAGAGAGAAAACGGAACGACTGCGCGAGACTGTTAGTGAGGTATTCCAAAAAGCACAAGAGTCCGATGCCAAGTTAGCGGAAAAACGCAGAGAACGGTACAACAGTAAAACTTCGTTTAAATCGTTGGGGGTGGGTCAACAAGTTTGGAAAAGAAATTTACGAGCAAAAACATTTGCAGATCGGTGGACGGGACCCTATGTCGTGGTAAAGCCCACGTCGGTAACCAAAACATCTTATGTGGTGAGAAGGAATAATGGAACTAAAGAAGAAATTGTCCATTACAATTACCTTAAACCTTATCAGATTCGACCTGTCAAGAAACCAAAGTCAAGGAATCCACCAAAGAAGAATGGGGTCGGACACCCAGCACTGGGTACCAGTGAGGACAGTGAATCTGACAGCAGAGAAGAGGAAATGCAACCAGAGAGAAGATATCCAGAAACAATTCGAAGACCTCCAGAAAA